CAGGCATATTTCACGTTTTGTTGTTCTTAAAATTCTATTTACATCATATTAAGATAGCGGAATGAGGCACGTTTGCGTAGAATTAAGGGCGGTTTTCACCAACTCATCCGCCATTTCATTTCCCTTAATTCCGCAGTGACTGAGAACCCACTGAAATGCCACTCGATGATTCGACTTCGTAGCTTCTGAGAGCTCTTTTAGTATAGCGTATACTATACGCCCATCAATGTGTCTTGAAGTGGCATTTTCCACACATGCGAGTGCTGCCAGAGAGTCTGTAATTACCACCCATTTTCTTGGTGTCGTTGACAGTTTAATAAATCTTATGGCAAGCAAAATCCCTACGAGCTCCGACATTGTTGAAGAGGAGAGGTGGCCCAACCGACATGCATATTCTTCGTGCGATTGCGGAATTAAAAATGTTGATGTCGCTGTCTCTTTGGTGACGGAGCCGTAAGTGTACACGTGAGTGTATCCTTGGTACCTGTCAAACAGATGATGTGATGCGAACTGCTGTGCGGCAACGATTGGCTCTTCACGTTTGCTGCGAAGTCCTTCTATTGACGTTTCAATAATTGGTAGCTCAAGCAGCCATGGTGGGTCCAGTATCCAAGGTGTTGACACAGGAAGCCGGGAAATGTACTGTTGGTAGACATAGTGCCTTTGCGCTCCGGCACGGTTCACGATGTTGGATATGAGCGGATGTTGAGGGTGTTGCATGACTAGTCGAAAGAAGTGCCGACATGTCTCCACATTTTTAATTCCTAGAAAGGTGGGTTCTCTTGCCTCTGCCAGGTGTCAGAGAACTTGATGTTGCCTGTGAAACCGCCAGACATATGCGTAAGCTTAGTGCTTGTAACAGCTGGAGTAGGTGTAGCGACGTCTGAGAGATGTTGTGGAGAACTGGCGCAGAGTAGGCAAGTTTCTGTTGGATTAGTGCACAATGGATGTGGAGTAGAGACGCTGATGTACCACCTCATTTTGTTCCCGCGATGTGACGTATAAAACTTATGGTGCAGATCACATGATTTTCTTGATCAGCAACATGCTCACTCCATCTGAGTTGGCTATCTAAAGAGTTGGCTATCTAAAGTAACGCCAAGGAAGCGATGCTTTCGTGCGATTTCAAGTCTCTGGCCAACCTTAAAAAGCTTCAAGTTTTTCACTGTCTTTCTCGTGAACCGCAGAACTACCGACATGGTGACTCGACGACGTAATTCATACCGAGCTCACAGAAAGCTAGCGCCCGTGAGACGTCAAGGCCAGACTGCAGTTTTCTACAACGGGCGTCTTTTGCGACACAATGGTTCTTGCTCTTGAGCCCCACCGATAATACCTCGCGAGGTGAGAGTTTAGGCTTCCATGCAGGAGAAATTCTCGATAATAAAGTTAAAGAGTCTCAATCTATACAAGCAGAAGTGGGTGGCTTCAGCGCAAAAGAAAATGCCCACTTTTCATCCCGCATTCCAGGAAACCACTTATGCACGCAGCACAGTCACAGTGCAAGCTGGCAATATCAATCTACCATAAGATAGAAGTGAGAGCGCAGTCTCTTCTCCTATTTCTTGGTCTTCAAGTCACAAGCATATTGCAAATAAATAAAGAAAATCTAGTTGCGTGCGCAAGTCTATAATAAGAATAATTGCCAGAGACAGAATAACATCGAAACATCGCAGCTTGCGTGTCGATATTATTCATAGAAACAGGTCGTGCTTGAGCTGGCCCACTAAAATTGATCGATAGTTACCTCCATGCCAGTCCATGGAGCTTCAAGCAATCAGATCTGTTTCAGGTTGAGCTTCATTTTGTCGCGGATCTACGTAGCGGTGGCATAAGCATCAATGGCGTGCAAGTGTGAACAGCATGCTTTCTATGCGTTCGCCAACATGCGCCGTCAGTTTAAAACCACAGTGAAATTCTATATTTAACGTTTTATATTCTATATTTATTGAAACTTGCTTCATTTATTTGTACGCAAACTTTATTGCAAAAAGTTTTCGTGATGAGGCAGCATAAGTGAAACCTGGGCAAATTTAACCATCAGATAACCGCACGAAATGATAACCATCATTGCGTGCGTTCCAGATTTGGCATCAAGATTTCATAGATTACTTTTTTGCAACACTTGAAAATAATCATGCTTGTTTATCTCTGGAAGGTACCCACTATCTATTTATGGACATAACAGTACAGTATTAAGTGAGAAACGCTTAACGTTTCGTCTTCTGCGGTGCAAGGTGTGTCGGTCCAAGTGGTCTCTGGTTTGTTGTAAATTCTAGTCAGAGGAGCGTGACGTTGCGTCTATTTAGCTTCGTCATCGTTTTGCAGTCGATTTAAAATGAGTTTAGGCAAGACGCGCTCGTGAAAAAACATGAACTCGATGCAATATCCTGCACTGCATGAAACGCTACACCTACGCGCAGCGGTGAGTGGACGACGCTTTGTTTAAACTGTCAAATACGACTCGTAAAGCTTCAACGTCGCAGCAAATTACTGACCTATAGTGATCTTAAGCCTCTTTGAATCACAATTGCACTGCTTTAGTCCTTTTCACCGCACCGCACTGCCCGCACTACGAGAAAAACGAAACTGAAACTAGAAAAAGGTCTGTAGACAGTTCGATAGCTAACTTTATCCAATCCGAAGCCTGTACTTCCCATAATTCTCATGGAGGTACATGGTCGCGGCGCCAGATTCCTTAGAAGTGTGGCAGCTTGGGCTAGTTGGTATGACATGATGATAGTTATAGCGCGAGAACAGAACGACGACAAAGACAAGAAGGACACGAGCGCCAACTTCGTGTCCGTCTTGTCTGTGTCGTCATTCTGTTCTCGCGCTATAACTATCGCCAGATTCTTCTCTAGGTATTGTTCTATGCTGTGTGCAGTCGAAATGACGTTGTGTAAGAAAGACCGGAAACAGGCGCTGTGCTTCAGCCAATCATGGTAGCCCGAATCGGACATGGGTACGAATTGGACACCACGAGAATAGCTCCCCTGGCACGAACTATGGCCTGACGAAGTAGAAGGACTTCAGTAACAGTAATCAGTACGAAATCTATGCAAAACAACTAAGACACAACCTGCAGATGCACCAAAAGGCGGAATGAAATGAGACTTGCGCATTGCAGGCTGCAACTTGTGGGAAAAAAAGAGGAGAGAACGTGACGTTAACCTTGAGAACGACGCGGACAAGTTCCGTTTCACCGGGCGGTGCTCCGCTGCGCCACCGGCGGTCAAGTTGGAAAGGGTGGCACGTCACTATTCCAGCTTCGCAAAGCGCGGGCTGTTTGAACGACACTACTCGTATGCCGATCGCTAAAACTTGATTTTATTTTTAACTAAGCAGTTCATTGGCATGAAACAAGCACTGCGACGCTATTTAAACAACTGAAACTTCACCGTTGCAGTTTTCGTTATTCACCTGAATCTTCCGGCATGCAAACAGCGAACACACACTACTGGCTACCCTTACAATTGAGTGTTTGTTCTGTGAGGTTGTTCACGGCTTTACTTTGGTACTACCTCACCATTTCGTAAACTCGGCATTTGATATCTGTCATTTCTTATGGTTCGTAGCTATATTTATTCTCTATGAGCTAACGCATCGCATTCTAGTTAGTATTCAAACAAATCTAATACACATCGGTATGCTCTATCGAATGTTCTTTCACTTACACGCACTACTTCGTTCTTGCAATATGCCCTTTCTGAGTGCCCCCCCCCCCTTTTTTTAAGAGTGGGCGAATGGTGGGAGGTTCTTTTCTTAATTGATACTATTATTTCACGAAGTGCTTCTTTGACTACCATAGTTATACGACACCGGAGTAGGCTTTGTATAAGCAGTCTTGAAGATTATAAATAAGACGGTCAATTTCCTAAGGATGCGTCATTCATTGATCAAAAACGTTTTAGGTCTTTTGCGTTAAGGGGAAACATTCCTAATTTCCAAGATGGCAGATCTGGACACTCGTCCCAGAGGATGCATAACACCGCCTGGTATTCAAGCGCGACCAGCACCTTAACGACGGGGAGTGGTTGCGACACGCGTCTGTCATCTTTAATACTCGGCTCACTTTCAAGTCGTGTTGAGCACGGCTTTCATCCTTTAGTTTCGCTTGCACTACCAATTCTGAGCACGTTAGTGAGTTGCAGTGCTCCATAGCTTCAGTTTGGGTTGTTATCGGCACCGCTCGTATAGACCTCAAATGTCTTATTCACCCTTCTGTGTTATATTTTGTGTGCACTTGTGAAAATCACCTGGAGTACAGTGGCAAAGCTCGTTTTCAGTTGTATAAATTTTCACAAAAGTGCAAGTGGCGTCCTCACTGAAACACACGGAAAGGAAAGTTTGTGGAGGGTCGCGAAAACGCTTGCGACGACCAAGAAAAGCTGTTCACAAGGTGGCTGCTCGAAGCCTGGCGTGAGTCCAGAGAAACTCACACACATATCGCCAGGAGGGTTGCGGAACAGGTCGCCTTCGAGTGAAGGCTATCCGCCCAAAGTCACAGAGACGTCGGCGGAACGATCGCGCTCACGGCCGAACACATTCCTGCCGCTTGTCTAGTACTCGCGCCAGCATGCGCTGTGCGCTGACGAGCGACGTTGTGGCAGTTTTTCATACCACTCGGCTTGTCAGGTGCACAGCTTGCAGGAAGACCTGCCCATTTTGGCTCAATCCGCAATAACCCGGGTTTATGCCAATGCGTTTAGACACTGCTGTCGAACAGTGCTGAATTGCTTCAAGTACGTGCCTTTCCTCAGAACTGTGAAACAGAATACGTGGCTGCTGCAATCACGATAGGCTCCGACTTGGATGTCGTTATTCTGCTCCTTGGAACAGATCTGCACACGTTTGGCAATTGTGAGAAACGGGTTCATTCGACGACGGAGCGGATATTCTCGTCTAGGCTAATGCACCATGCCGCGCCCATGAAGTACGCGCAACAAGCCGAGTCAGCATTTGGCCGTGAAGGTGAGAATTAGACGACTCGCACTTACCAGGCAGGTGTGCCACTTGCGCACAATATCCAGTCTTGGCGACGCACACAGCGGTGAGTAGACAAAGCCCCGCGAGCGGTGGTACGCAGATCAGCGGCGCACGACAGCAACACACACGCCCGACTGCCTCACACAGCCGTCGCCATTTCGCTTTCGTTGTACAACCGGAATCTCGAGTTGCCCACGAGGCGGCGCGCCATTCGTCGGAAATCCCTGCACGCGTGCAAGGAGGCCGCGGGTTTCTCCCCGGCTTCCGGCTGGCAGCGACGGCCTTGAACCTGACCGGTGTCCGTCTCGGAAGAAAGTGTTGTGTGTCGCCGCGGGTGAAGGAAAAACAGGATTCTCCGAGGAGGAGGGGTCAAGGGGCGCATGCACGCGGCGGCCTTGAGAGGCGTCCCCGGGCGCACGCTCGGCCCAGTAACAGCAGGTGTCGTATCCCTGGCATAAAGTAATTGCTGTATGTGCCGCGTCGTCCGCTGTTGCACAATGATGAGTTATTGGCTCATCAGTTGAGAAAGTACGATCCAATAAACTGGCAGTGAATGCGGGGAATCTCTTGCGGGCGAAGTGCTTGGTTGTGTTTGGCAGAAGCTAAGAGGTGGCTGTTTATCATTTTAATACATCGCTGCTAGAGCAGATAGCCATTTGAAGCCACAGCCAAGTGGCATTTATCAAGCACTCACTGACATGAGTGAACATCTTTGGGTAAATTTAGCCGATGCTTACATGCCAGTAAGCGCGATAGTATAATAATGCATGTTTCGTGCTATGCATACTACGATATCCTGCTCAAAAAGCGACTGCAACAGCTTCTTGACATTCATGAAGCGAATTCTTGTTAGAGGGACACTTGGTTTTGGTACACGTTGAAACAGCGCAAGTAGGCGTGCGTGCAAGGGAGCCACACGTGCGCTCCTCGCAACAGATAAGAAAATAAAGAAATGTCCGATAACTGCGTGTGCTCCTTACTACCATTTGTTCATCCAACGACATCTGAAAAATGACTTAGCGATGAGGCAACCACGCTCACTATATTTTGTTAAATGAGGAGGTTAGTAATATTTACTATCAATCAATTATTATATCAAACACTTAATCTTTATTTTGGCGTCAGAAATGTAATATGTTGCAAATAAGTATGCTGGAGGAGGTGCAAAGGTTACAAACCACAGGTGGGATCTCCTGTGCAAAGGAAAAACGAAAATACGAACAACGAAAGAGCAACTTCTTTAGGTGTTACAGGTAGCAAGTAACTTCAAGAATTTTTTCTTTTTTTACAAACAAGGCAAAATATAGGAAATAACAAAATGAAGCAGTTATACAATAAATAAACATTTTTTTAGTTCTGTCTTGAAAACATGAATGTGCAATAAGTATTTCGGATCACGTGAAAATAGGTGAGAAGCAATGGATGCTTCTTTTTCCATAATTATTGCAAGTTTTAGGTACCAACAGATTATTGCCGACCGCGATTCTAGTTTTATTGGAATTATTCAACAAGACAGTAGGAGATATGCTGATAGTGAGAGTGCAGTGGAAAACCCTGAAAAAAAGAACACACACAATATAAACGTACATTTGGGAGACGGGTGATATGTCAAGCTGCCGAAAAAAACTTGGTTCATCTCTCGCTAAAGAAAACTGTGTAGATGAGATGCAGCGGGTGCTATCGCAGCGACGTTGACGCTGGCGCTCATCAAGCGAAAGCCAAGTAAAAACGTCCTTGGCTGAATACCGAACGCGCGATTCAGTGCCTACGTAAACGGTGTGGCCAGTATACGGTTGTGTAGCGCGAGCAGTCGGTTTTCTACTAGCAGATGCTGCCCGCGTTGGCCTTGCGAGGCGAAGGAGAGGGATGGGAGCGACTATTTTGCGGGTGTCTTCCTGGACCGGAACGAGACGCGAGCACACGCAGTGGGGGTGTGCGGAGGCCGGAACAGCGTTCAACAGGCTATGCAAAGAGCTGCTTCACATATAATATGATCTGATGGAGTCTGGCGTGAAGAGAAAGTTATAAGTCGCATTCCTTGTTTTCGCATTACCTTCAATGGCCGAATGCGAACTGCATATGAATTACCTCACGGTGTAATGCAATAATCGAGTTGGCTGTGCATGAATACATAATACAATTTATTCAGATTGTCAATGTTAGAACGCAATCTCCCCTTGGTCAATGCTCTGATACCGTATGAAATCGTTTTACAGATAAAAACTTTATTTATTTATTCATTTATGTCAATATACTGCAGGCGAATTTGGCCCTAGAGGAAGGGTAGTACACATAACAGAACAAATTATAAGGATGGCCTGATACACGCACTCATACAATTTTGAACATGGGTGAATAAAATAGGGTGTATATAACATCTGGTGCATTTAAATCAATAACATTATTACTCAGAGAAATAAAACAACACAGGCGCTTAGGAAACATGATCTAACAAAAGATATGCTCATCGATAGCTTGGTCGAAGTGGGGCGACGTAATCACTAAATCTGGAAGTCTGTTGCAGTCCACTGTATTATTGGGAAAGAGCGTAGTAACATTTTGAATCCACTTAGCTTTAGCGAAAATTGATTCCAGTCCATGAGGCCTAGTGTGTATTGTTCGTCTTGTTGTAACAGGACGAAGGTATGGCAAGTCACCTACATTCAAGCCACCAGATACTAGAGAGTTTGAAAAACACTGGGTTCCCAAGCTGCGTTGCACAGGTCGCTCTTGCGTTCGGAGGGTCAGCAGAGCTAGAGAACTGGGTCAATCGCAGGCTGCGTTGGGTCTAACGCACGGGGCGCTACCCGTGGCAAATGAGAAATATGGGAGACGTAGGCCATACGGCACCGTGGCTCGCGCTCCGTCTGCTTCGTCTGGCTGGCAACACAAGACGCCTCGGGTCCCCACGGTATAGTTTTTGATTTTTGGGCCTTTGGTCAACACGAACGCCAGATCCCAAAATTGGCTTGGGTTTTGCGCATGTGCCCTGGCGCGTCGCAAGCTTCTTGGGTCCCCAAGCTTCTTGCAGCCCCATTTTTCAAACTCTGTAATATGTTATGTAGTAACTTTATGCCATGAAACTTTCTTCTGTAGAGTAAAGAAAATATTTTGTTTTTGGTCGTGAGGGTACTCTAGAAACCTGTTCTCAGAGTGGAGGTTCTTTGTGAGGTGGTCATGTGCCGCCTTTTGGATGGCATCGCGCGAGTTGGTCGTGTGGACCACGTTCCACAAACTGTCGCCAGTGAGCCGTTCACTGAGTGCGAGCGATTTCCCCAAGCTGGTAAAGCAGAAGCCACTTAACTCTCGTCAAGGGCTTCGCGTCATGTGCGGAGAGCGTATACGCGTAGACTCACCTATTAAGAGGACTGCATAAGTTGCCCTGGTGAGCGAGCACGCGCTCTATCAATAGAAAACGCTGGAGGAGACTTCGGCCACAGTCTCGCCACCGAATAAACGTTGTCATTGGAAAGGCTTTGATCAAGTGAAATAGTTGAACAATTCTGGTGTGAGCGTCTTTCGTAGGTTGGTGTACATCTTTTAGATCCAAAGCTCCTTGTGGTGTGGGCTGCATCCTTACCTCACTCCTTCTTTCCCGCGGTGTCCACGACCCACTGCACATGGATGTTCCTTCCCCTCTGTCTCCGCTTTTATGCTCCCCCTCTCACCTCTACCGTGGCGTCCGAACTCGCAGCACATGGGCGTCCTCTCACACCTCTGTCTCCTAGCCTGCGCTCTCTACCTCTATAAGCACGGAGTAATGAATCACAGCTGGGGGCATTCCAGCTGGCACATTACATGTAAAATATGGTGGAAATGATGTGACGGTGACCATATTTACTGGTCACAATGGCGCATTGTTATGAGCTCATGCTGTGCAGTCTAGCTCGTTTGGAAGTTAGCGTTGATGGTGGTGGTGGTAATATCCATTATCTTTGCCTTGTCGTTAGCTACGCAGTGTGGTTGTTGTAACCCGAGCCACGTTTACAATCTATTGTAAAAGAACTTGTTGTTAGGCTAGATGGTATAAAATTTCAAAAAATTAATTTCAGCGCAAACACATGATACATTCACGTGCACACACACCCAGGCATCAAACAGACAGGGCGCTCACTTCGAACCGATTTCTTCACAGCACTAAGGCTTGAATATATACATGGGATATATGCGCGCAGTAACATCAAACACTCTAAGGCAAAAGGGTGTTAAATGAGTGTGTGGTTTGTCTTTTTGGGAACTAATGGGGCTGCCACTACCATTAATTCCTATAAGGACAGTTACGATCCGTTTGGTTCTTTCCACTCGCCTCTCGCTTGTTGCGCGACATTTGCTGCTGCCGCCAAGGAAGCCGAAGACGAGAACTTTTAATCTGCTGCCACCTTGAGGAAACGACCGCTCCAACATCATCTGGATATAGAGACGTTTATTTGTTTCTCTTCTCTTTTTTTCACTGTCCCTGCACCCTTGGTTTTATCCCTTGTCTCCCATTCAACCACTCTTACAGTCCAATTGTAACGCACCACTCTTACAGTTCAATCCGAACGCACGGATGTGTCTCTCTTCGCCACAATCTCGAAGACCCACCGCCTCTTGCCCACTCATCGGTTCTCCGCCGTCGCTCAGGTTTCTTTCACAACAGTTCCAGGAATGGTCGACGACGGGCGTTGCCGGGTCGTGGAAAAGCGCCTCCGAGTAAGTTCCCGCGATGCCGGGCTGGCAGGTCATCAATACAATTGGCCCGTGCGCCAATGCCGTCGCCTCCGCTGATTCTGATTGTCCGGCGGACACGCACGTGTACCTTCCACGTGTACCGGCCACCTGCAGCCCGGCTTGGTCTCCTGTAAGGCGCCATAATTGAACCCCTTGGGGCACAGGAGTTGTCGCGTCCTTTGTGGCCAGAAGACTGTCATCGTCCCGCATTCCGGTGGCCCTGCTTCCTTGTTGGCGAGGGGTCGCCGGCCGCGGGGTGGGTAACATAATGTACTCGGGGCACCCATGAAGTTCGAGCCTAACACCTCTCCTCCAACTGTGTTGCACTGTATCTATGACATGCGACACAAACAACCGCATATGCAAACATGTTCACTGGCTCGACACGTGAGGCACCAACTGTCACTCGTACCTCGTTGACTCCGTCGCGCGCACGCGCTAACAAAGCATAC